CTACTTTAGTTTCATGTACCTTTCACAGATGGCGCCAGCGTTAACATTTTTACACTATTTGTCCTTTTCTAATATTTGCTCTCTTTATCTACTTTAGTTTCATGTACCTTGCACAGATGGCGCCAGCATTAACATTTTTACGCTATTTGTCCTTTTCTATTATTTGCTCTCTTTGTCTACACTTGTTCCTCAAAATTTATATATTTAAGAGACGGTTCCAATATCTGATTAATTTTATTACATTCTTTATCCAGTCTAAATCAAATCAAAGTTTATTTTTATTAAAAATTATATATAATTCTATGCATTTGTATGTTGTATATACGCGAATTTATATATTTTTTAATTAATTTTTTTATTTATCATACTATACAGGATATTATATTATATTTTATATCTTAATCATAATTTAATGCAATAATATCAAAAGTTTTTTAATAGTTTATGTTACACGAAAATTTCAAAGATTGGGAATAAATTGAAAGAAAGTTTTCAAGAGGAAATTGAATATGACACTCATCTTTTATTTAATTTCTGATAACGCAATGATATAAAGTCAAAGGCTTAGACTACTTATTAATTTGTCACCACATATTTCCTCCGGATCTATGCTAAAAATAATTGCAATCGTGTCAAATACCATCTGCCTTCGAAACTCCTTATGACGTAGATCTATTGTTGTTCTTATCTTATGATATTAATAGATCTTCGTAACTTGTTAGATTGTTCGCACGTTTGAAACCGGTTCGTCTTATTACAACATTACAACATTATTAATCTAAGTAACACGAAATAATTGCACAGGTCAGGTAAACGCACGATCTCAGCGAAAAATTCGTTCCAATAATTAGAGAGTTTGGAACGATCGAAAAATCGTATTGATTTGATTCTCGTGATTGCGAGTTTTTTTTTTTTTTTTTTTCTTTACATTGAAATAAACGTTATCCAGTTATCGTGATGCGCGACATTTTTCATTTTAATCGCGTTGAAACGCGTTAAATTACATTGGCTGTTGCTTAATCGTATATACGTATATGTGTAAGTACTTTATGTAAAATTATACCCAATGTGGGTTTTCGATTCAACGAGATATCCACATCGCAAGGCTCTTTTATTTACATAGAATTTCTACCATTAAATAATAACACTAACGTGTATATTATAGATTTTTTTCTTTTAATCTGAATAATATATTCGAAAAAACGTGACATTTCTTTCTTCCCAAACGATAAATTATACGATATCATGCGATACATTATTTAAACGTGAAATCGATAAATCTTTCCATCTAATATTACAAAATCAATCAACGATCGTTGCACGATATTTTCATTAAAATTTATAGACACAACGTATACGTATATCTCTCATGTTTACCTAATCAAGTGATGGAAAACAAACTCATCATATTCTACGATTCCCGTTTTTATTCACCATGTCAATTACAATGACACAACTACTTCAAAAGCTATATGCGATCGAATAAAATTTTTTGTACATGGTTACGTTTCATTTTTCACCTCAACTTTTTTTTTTATCGCGGTACTCGCGGTTAACTCAGGTTTGGAGCAAAGGCAATCGGCGTACGATGCGCGAGTCGTTCACGTTCATCGTTTCACCTTAATTGACAAATAATTCGATATTTTCGCGGTAAACGGGGGAACGATACTTTTGCCATTTTCGATTTTTTAGGAATGTAACATGTCTCTCTTCGCGTACCCTTTTTATACATCGAATAAATCGAACCAATTATTTTGAAATGAATTATATGTATAACACGGGGTATATGTATAAAGAACAGGATAGACAATTGCTCGATATATATTCAATCGAATATAGCCAATAAAACTGCTTTATAAAACGTTCTTTGGCCGTTCAATGTTCGTAAATGGATAATAAGATAGTGAGTGAATGGGCAGTGGGGAACAACCCTGAAATAGGATACCTTTGTAAGATACTTGTTGATATATCTGCAAAGATGGGAATCCCTTCGAATAATTCGGAATAATTATGTTCAATCATATGTTTCGATCGACGATAGAACGTCGTTTGTTTCCAGTTGAATACCTCTCGTCGATCTTGAATAAAATCGGTAAATAGGTATGATGTTTTGCATCGAGGAAAGGGGAGCAAGGATGATTTCTTAATTAAAACGAACGACTGGGTCGTCACGAGGAATAATTATCTTCTACATTATCCTTATTAAAGTCGTGATAAAGCGTGTCTCTCCATCGTGTTCGTGATTTCCTCTTCTACCTAGGAACGAGAAATTTTCAATTTTTCGACGAAAAAATTTTTTACTTAACATCAAGTACGTAGATTCACTCGCTATTCACATTGAATTTTCGAACGATAAACATCGAAATAATTGTCGTTCGTTTCTCTCTTTTTTTTTTTTTTTTTGTTTTTTTTTTCTTTTTTTCAATAAGGAAAAATCAGCTAAACTCTCGATTCAAGATGATATATTATCGACGTAAATCGTAAATTTCTTAAAAATAGAATGAGAGGCCTGTACGAGACGAAAGTTCTCTTTCGAATAGGAAACAAATCTTCGATCGGCATCACGGTTTCTCGCCCCCTCTTCCTATCTTTTCGACTATCATCGTTTATATGAGTGTTCGATGGGAGCGTTTCGAACGATCGATCGATCGATCGAAATCATCGATCGCGTGAACGTCGTCTCGATCGATCGGTGTTAGAGAGAATGGGCGATCGTCGATTCCATCATCCCTTCCTCCTCTCGAATCAGGTGAGAAACGGTTGTCGATGCCTTTGGATTTTCGTTTACGACAGTATGCAGGAATTCCTCTTCGACTCGGAACGTTCACGGATCTGCTGCAGATGCTGGAGCTGGGCCGGGGACGGGACGTGAGCGCTGCTGCTCCGAGAATTCAAATGCTGGGGCGGTGGCAATGATTGCCTGCGGCGACGTCTCAATGCCGGGCTTAGATTGTACTTCAGCTTGGCCTGGATCAAAAGCTCCTTGAACACCTGTGAAATGTTCAAGTTCTCTTTCGCTGACACCTCCACGAAACCGTTCTCCCATTTCATCGTTACCAACTCTCTCGTGCTGTCCGTATCCACCTGCAAATGTACGTTCGAGTAAAATTGTAGCGGGAGGAAATT